TTAGATACAGTAAGTTCAAATCACATATTTTCATGTAGTATATTTTTTGTAATTTTTGGGACAAAGTAGCGCCTAACGTGCCCATAGCTTTAATCCCCGTCTCTCTCTCTCTTTCTCTCTCTCTCTCTCTCTCTCTCTGTATCTCTCTCTCTCTCTCTCTGTATCTCTCTCTCTCACACACCTCTCCCCCAGCAAACAACAATACCTCGTATCAGCGTACCTGAGTCAATGTAGGGTTCAGTGCTAGATGGTCAAGAACGTATAGGTTCAGTGCCATGTCTTACACAGGAGGCACAGGAAAACCCCAGCTGTATTCTCTGTGATGCATGGAGACATGGCCCGGGGGGAGGGGGGGGGGCTTTAATTTTACCTGATCTCGGGCTAAAGCTGAAATTGAAAACCCTTCCAACCACAACGTAGGACGTTGTAAAATAGATCTTTTACTCTAAAAGGAGAAACCAGATTTTGTGTCTATTAAAGTGTGAGTAACGCACCAGTACGTAGCCTTCGTTTAACGTTCGGTATTGCAAAGTTACTGAAGTTGAAAATGTTTAATACTAATATGTCCCGCGGGCTCATATGACCGTATGCAGTTGCTAGCGCCTTAAAACACTTACAAAAAAAAAAATCCCCTGAAGTTCTTGTGCGGCAAAATGACTCATTTCTATTGAGAACCATGAACATAAAAACAGTTAAGGTAATCCAAACTTGTTTTATGAGAAAAATGTAATGTTTCTTTAGGGTAAATTATTGATTGTGCACAACTCACAACTAGGCAATGGTTGGTCAATTCGGAGATGAACGTAAAACTCGGAGGTCCTGCCTCTTATGTAGCCTAATAGTGTTGATAAAGGCGTTAAACCCATACCATTTTTGTAAAATCTAAACAATGGCAGGCACCCACCAAAACAAGGACACAACTCTCTGACACATGCCATCACAAGTATGTCACCACTTTCCGCTGACCCCACTTTGGTGACCGCCTAAATGTCTTTTTCAAGGACACACTCCAGTGACCTCTAACAGCTGTTGTCAGTTCTCTTAAAGTGACCTTTATGGGTCATAGAGTTCACTTACCCTTATCATCGAGGAAACAAAGAGATTGTATAAATAGAACTAGAGCTTTTCGCGAGAGGCTCCTGTGGTCTAGAGGATACGGTACTCTCCTCTGATTCAATTGGTCCCGGGTTTGAAACTTGACAGCGACGTATACTTTTCTTCTCTAAAATGTTCTACTTTCACCTCCTTCCCTGCTCTTTAACCATATATTAATGTCTTCTTCTGCTTCACTTTCTGTCCCTTCAACCT